TATAAGTATCCTAATAACTTAAGTGCAGAAGGTGCGGTCCACCAAAAATTAGTGTACTAACTACGACTAATTCAGAAAACCAGGAACCTGCTGGTCTCCCTCCGCTGCCTCCCCCTCAAAAGAAAAGGAGCAAAAATAAGCCTACGACATGTAATCAAGAAAATCAGGAATCATCCACTTCTGGTCTCCCTCCACTGCCTCCCCCTAAAAAGAAACAGCGGCTGGGATCAAGTAATACTAATATAATAGTGAGAACCCTGCGCCTGTTCCAGCAGTAAACGTCCTCATCCGACGCCTAGATATTCCGGACTTCGATCTCTTCAGTGATTCGGATAATAAAATGCAAGTCCGTTTACAGCTTTGTCTCGTACCCCCTTCTCTCTCTATCTCTCTCTCTCGTGGTATTCTCGCAGCTAGTACTACTCGCAGCCCTCACTCACTCCGCCTCGCGGGGAACTATTTCGCGTAGCGGTCGATTAGGACCCATGAATGTATAGGCCTAAGTGTACTGTAAGTCCGTTTTTTGCCTAGTGCGCATTAATACATATAAACACGGCGGGTCCACCAAAGTTCAATCAACTCTCTGGTTCAATCCAGCCTCTAAGATCTTTGTCCTTGCGCGATGAGGGGAAAAAATGAGGAAATGGTAGGCCTGATTTCCATCCTTCTTTTGAAACACCCTGTGCGAATATAACTTCATAGTATTCGCACACCCTGTGCGAATAAAATTTCATAGTATTCGCACACCCTGTGCGAATATAACTTCATAGTATTCGCACACCCTGTGCGAATAAAATTTCATAGTTTTCACACACCCTGTGCGAATAACTATAGCCAAAGCGAAAGTAGATCTTAATTTCCCCAATCGAGCCTCTGTGTCACATACACTTCCGCCTGCTGCCATAGCCCGCCTTTTCGCGTGAAACGTAATCTCGGATGGGGAATAGGAAAACGAATATCATTAAACAATCGCAACCTGCAAAAACGGAGTCATGTACCGTGACTAGGGTTCACTGAAAAGTCTGGCAGGCTCCATCACTCCGTACGCACGTTAATTTACGACTGTTCACCAAATGTTTACAACCGCCACGGCACATTTTACTACTATTTACAACCTTTACTACCACGAAGCCAAATTTACGACTTTCGACCTTGCTGGACACCCTGGATTTAGATCTAGTCTAGATAGTCTAGTCTAGTCTAGACTAGAGAGTCTGGTGATCTTGTAGTTCCGTTCGTAAAAGTCCACGATCCATTTGTTTACATTCAGAGAAGAAATCCAGAAGTCTTGAAGACCAAATACTATTTGAATTAGGCTACACAAAGAGCAGAGATGCAACCTAACTGCAAAACATCAAATTAGGACAAAATTCAGGGGGGCATGCCCCCCCTGAACCCCCCCACCTCCATATTTTTTTTAGGAACAGCCATTGTTACTTGTACAGAAGTGCCCAGACATACACACAAACACACAAATGCACACAGTTGTGGCTTTATACAGTACACACACATGTAACACACCAAACTAACAAGAAACAAAGACAGTTGCAGCTCTTTTCTTTTGTTTGTTGTTCTTGTTCTCATCATTTGTTGCTCCAAGTCCAAGAGTTCTTTTGTTAATGTTGCTGTGTTAGTGTTGTCGTTGTATGCTGCTGTTTTGTTGTAATATTTGTTGCCTCGATATTTAGGAAATGGTAGATGATGTTAATCATCAACGAAAATGAGTTCCGTGTTAACTCTGTCGCAATTAACGCCGCGTTAGTTGTCACAGCGTCACTCTGTCGCAATTAACAATGGTCTACAAATCTATCGATATTAGGTTGTCATCAAAAGCGTTTACTCCAAAAGAATGAATGAATGCTTGCAAAATTAAAGCAAAGTACCATTAATTAAGAGAAAAAGATGTATGTCAACGTACAGTGATGGTTTTTCTCAGATTCACAAGCACTTCTGTCCCATTTTCGCAGGGGAATGTTCACTTCTTGTGGAGAACCGCTACTTTTGAGAAGAAAACTGAAAACTGGAAAGTGAAAACAACTCAGGCTGACCATTTAAAAACTAGGACTGCATAGGCTTGGCCAGATCTCCTGCATTCCGAAACAAAGCTTCCGGCCTTCGCTTTGCTTTCTGATCGAAAGCTAGGCTTACTGCGTGAATTACATTACAAACAAACGTCCTGATTCCGTCTTGTGTTAAATACTAATACTGTTCACTGTTCACTTGTCTCTAATCAGGTCTGGTACATTCTCTCTAGGACTCTAGGCATACTCTTGGCCCTTTCGTTGCCTAACTTATTTATTATCAACACTCAACCTGGGCCTCTGCCACTACTAGATTTCTAGATCTATATCTAGATCTAATTATCTAGAAATCTAGATCTAATCTCTAGAGGTAGAGTCTACCTAATCCTAATCAGTCAATAAATTTTAGTTTTTCATGTGTTTGTGATCTTTGGTCGCAAAATATGGCATCCAGCAATTCTTCGTTGGAAAAACCAAAAAACGTTTCTTCTCGCTTGTGGGAGGTAAGTTCCATCGTGCATGGGCTTGGGATCACAACTTTGTTCAATGAAATCTATGATTCAAAGTTGTAAATCTTGAATTTAACATCACGTCGCAATGTTCACCCGAGATAATCCAGTTTTCGCTCCGAATGATTACTTACTTACTTTGGAGTATGGAGTAGATCTAGATTTTGATCTATGGGTTTCGCAGTGGCTACATGATTCACGACGCAGTGAACGTAGTTGGCTACGTTTACGGCGCCCTGAATGCAGTTTGCAGGCGTTGTTTAGGCTACGTTCACGGCACTAGTCTAAAGCTTCGTTTAGGGGGAGCTTCCACTGCCGGTTTAAAGTCAGCCGGTTTTAGTCAGTGACGACACTGGCGGTGAGTGAGTGACGTATATTTATTATTTTGGCCAGTTTCAAGTGTTCTATTCCATGGGATCAAGGAAAACGAAGCGGCCTTACAGAATTCAAGTCAGGATATAGGATTATATATATATATGGAGAATTGGATACGGTATGGGAAACAAGAGGTGAGAGATGGGAAACAGAAGGTGGGATTCGGAAGATGGGACTGGTCATAAAATGTGTACAATAATGACTGTATTGCGGCGGGTCTGCCTGGGAACTGACGCAAAGAGAAAATGACAGGAATCAATTATTCTTAAATGTATAATAACAAAATGAAACACCATCTCTCTCTCTCTCTCTTTCTGTCTGTCTGCCTCTCTCTCCCCTTTCTCTTTCTTCCTTGTCAAGTTCTCTCTTTCTCTGCCCCCCCCCCCTCTCTATTTTTCTCTGTCTCTGTCCATCTGTCTGTCTCTCCCTCCCTCCCTCTTTCTCTCTTCCTCTCTCTTTCTCTCCCCCTCTCGACTCTCTCTCTCTCACACACATACACTCATACACTGCTCGCTGACAAAATTGCACGCTTTCAACTCGAGAGCCCTGGAACGTTTGTTTACACTCGTATCATGGACCGTCTCTTGCTAACAAAGGTCACACCCAACTCTCACCCGGACGGGAGAGCTATAGGGCAATTGAAACATCTTGGTAGGCAGATACATTTTTTATTCTAATGTGTTGTTTCGTAATTGAGAGTGCGTCGTTTTCCCTTACACTGGCGAGCTCTGAGCCAGAGCTCAGTGTTTGTAAGGGAAAACGACGAATGGTTGATTGGTCAAGGATCACTGCTTCATTTTCCTTCAGCTCATGGGATGAAACGCTTGAAGCAGGCCAAAATATTAAATATACGTCACTATCGTCACTGACTAAAACTGGCCTGCTTAAACCGGCAATGGACGCTCTGTAAAAACGAAGCTTGAGTGCCGTAAACGTAGCCTCAACAGCGCCTGCAAACTGCATTCAGGGCGCTGTGAACGTAGCCTGCCAACTGCATTCACGGCGCCGTGAGTCTGAGTGCTTTAAATATCTAAAAGTTTACTTCACAAGCGGAGGCTTGAGAACAACAACTTAACGCCATTGGTCAATATTTATAGTAAGCCATCTTGTTTGACGTCATTGAGGGATTCCCACTTTGTCAGTCATGGTTTGGTGGCAACATGACCGCATGACGGCAGCTTGCTAACTCAGATTATTTTGGATTATTTTCTTCGAAGTGACTATTTCTCCGAACGTTCGGAGAAATAGTGCCGATCTTTATTTCTCCGAACGGTTTTCGGCTTCCGGTCTCGTGATTTTTTGCCTATTTATTGCGAGAGTTCGGCGCCAACTTTCATTCTGCCTCTGGTCTGGGAAGGAACACGTACCGCATGGCAAGCCCGCCTACAGACAACCTTCAGTAACACCCACCACACACCCACCACCATCATGCACATGTACACACACTAACTAAACATAACTAGTGGGCAACTTTTGAACGTATGACGAGCTGAACTGTGGATGGAGAGACAGTGTGAGTGAAAGAGCGGGTGAAAGGGAGAATGTGCGAGTGTATCCACAGGCGACAGCAACTACAAGACGACGACACTGACCACCCCTGGCCTGGTCCACAGCTCACGAACAAAAGGAATGCAGCTCAGGCGGTGTTTTGCCTATATTATTGTCCATGGTTCGCAGGGAACAAGTGAGATTTTCTTTGTGTGTGCCTGGAGGGATGGGGTGGGGTATGAAAGTCATGCGGACGGGGATGAGCCGCGGGAGAGAACACGGGAATTGAATGAAAGAGTGAAACTGAAAGAGACGAATGACTCATGAGTCCTGGAGTGAATGGATCCTGTGTTTCTATTTTTGTATACTTTGAACTGTTACTGAATAAAGGCTGAAATAAAGCCCGAAAAATAAACAAACACACACACACAGTCCTCACTCTCCACTTACTACCACACACAGACACACTCAAACACTCACACATACATACACACACACACACACACACAGGAGCAAATTTTTGGTTCTATATCTATTTCAATTTTCAACAGCTAGTCTAGATGAGATTTTTAGATGGGTGTAAAAACGTGAAAAAGAAAGGTTTCACAACAGAAAGAAATCAAAATTAGAACAGCCCATAAACAACAACAAACATTAATAAATAAGGGCGTGTGTCCACCTGTCCGAAGAAGATTGGCAGTTTTAACCCTAAATGTGCGTAATTTTTAAAAAAGTACAGGATATTACATGTAAATTATGGAATCACACACATTAAGGGGCTTGCCAGTGTCAGTGCAGCAGTGACAAACGCAGATGCCAGTTCTATGTGTCGTTATCTATAACCCTCCGTAGATCTAGATCTAGACAGCACACGAGTGAACACAACACATTACGTTTAAAAGCAGCACCCTTCATAGGCAACACGTCATATCTATAGCGAAAAACTGTTTGGAATTGTAGCATTTCTTTATATAAATATTTACGGCGGACATTTTTTGGACCGATTGAACCATATTGTATACGAACAATCTTTGGTAGGCCCATACTATAATTATAGATCTAAATAATATCCGAAATTTGGGGGAAAGGATGGTAGGCCCTATTTCAGAGTGTTCGGAGAAATAGTGCCCAGCTTTATTTTCCTGAACGTTCGGAGAAATAGTGCCCAGCTTAATTTTTTTCCCGAACGTTCGGAGAAATAGTGCCCAGCTTTATTTTCCCGAACGTTCGGAGAAATAGTGCCGGCCTATTTTCTTTGCAACGAGCAGAACTCTTCGGTTCGGTTGTCTGTGATTGTGCTGCACCCTTCTTCCACCCAGATTTATTCCGATGCTGAACACTACGTAAAATGAGAAGAAGAAGAAGACTAAGAGGAAGCCTAGATCTATGTCAATTTGGATACGAAAGTAAGTTCAAACAAAGTTCAACGCCGCAGTGCAAATGACCGACTGTTTCGATCGGGCAGTTTCTTTTAAAGTTTTATAAGCAAAATAAATTAACCACTCACCAGAGATTGGACTCAATGAGTCAATAGGACATTGAGCTGCAAGTGGAGTAGAACTATAAGGGCAAGGAGCTTAGAAACTGCCTGTGCAAACCGTGTGCTTAGCAAAATCATCGCTATTTTTCGAATTACGATCAGATGATGCGGCGGGCATACCCCTTGCAAGGTCAAATAAGATGGCTGTTACTATAAATATCGGCCAATGACGTTTATTTGTCATTTTCTAGCTATCCGCCTGTGACTACATCTAGCTTCTAGTTCGAAACAGTTAGCCTACTTTTGACTGTTCATTCCAACACGTTTGGCGCAGCGATTGAGAAAAAATATCAAACCTAATTGCAAAACATGAAAATATGGTTAAAAACAGGAGGGCATGACCCCCTGGAACCCCCCCCTTGTTGTTAAAAACAAGTGAAATATTAATATTAGTGTTGGGCGCGTTCTGTCTATTTGCGCGATCGGCAGTGCTTTTTGTGGATCCATAGAATGCACAACAATGGATGGATTGTTGCGTATTCTGTATTAGATCTGTGAATCGCGCAGCGATTATATATGGATCAGTAGAATGCGCAACGGATCTCAGATTTTACCAGAGTGTAGAATGTTTCTTTTTTCTGTTATGAAATAAGGTGTTAACATCTGATGAGCGTCTATATCCCTATTGTTGACAGTGCTCTATGCAGAAGTTAACGTCATACGTATGACTAAATCACTTACCTAGATATTATAGTCTTATTCCTCCTCCTTCAGGCAGATGTCAGGCCTGGAGCTGGCACCAACAATCACAGGTCTCAAAGACCACCAAAAACATATATATAATGCCACTTTTGAGCTTCCTATAGTACAGTATTTAAGGGGTGTTATAAGATGGACATTCATCATGCATTCTATAGATCCACAAAAAATGCTGCGCGATTCACCGATCTAGAATATACGCAACAATTGATGGATTGCTGTGCATTCCATGGATCCATAAAATGCGTTGCGCGATCAACCGATCGCCCAAACCGACAGAACGTGCCTAACATTACTACTCATTTTGTACTGAAAAATAGCGGACGGCACTGCCTCCATTTTTATTGATCACCTACTGTGCTGTGAAAGAATTGCAGACAGGGCAGCTTTCACTCTCTTTCACATAAAACAATGATACAGTTCAGTTATTAAAGTCAGTATAAGTCCAGTACTCTGGGGGCCAAAACTGAAGATTGCCATTTTGACTGTTTGTTTTCCCCAACATCGCACTCACATCTGAGCTGTCCACTGAACTTGTATTGTGCTTTGGTTGAATAAGGTGTGGTCACAACCCAATGGTCCATTACGACAGAGGCGGGGAACTTGGTCAGAGTTGGAAAGTTATTCATTGTGGACGGGTGGTAAGCGGAGGAGCAATAGGATCCGTGTAGATCTTGAGAATAAAATTGTATTAATATGCCTCCTACAATTGTGATTGGTCATCAAGGTTGACCATTCTTTGCTTGCCATATAAGTTATAAACCCAGCCCAGTCAGTTCATTTCAGAGTAAGGGATGATCATTTTGCTGATTGTGGGCTTGAACATTCATGAGTCACACAGTAGGATTTCCCCTCGGTGCGTCAGCAAGGATCCTGTTCGCATAAGATCCCACATTTTCCTTGCTCCCAACCACCAGGATCTTAAGCGAAGACTATTATATTATATTGGATACAAACAAAAATTATGAATCAATACGACCTCTGTTCTTTAACTTAGCATTAAGTCATAATTGTAATATGGTACTCTTCATTTTTAAAATGAAAATTAAGTACAAAATATTTGTTGATATAGCCCAAATACATGTAGGGACCTATGTAATGTTCGCTAAGGACTGCCAGAGGTAATTGTGAACGATCTTGTCTCATGAATGTATTTACAAGGGTTGCTTCTCATGTTATGACGTCCAATGCATGCATTTCATTATATCTCTTCTGCTTATATATTATATTATTCCACCTGCACAATTAAAATTCTTTGGATAAATGTTTCTCTATATTTATTAACTATCTAGGTAGTAACTCTTCTTGAACAAAGAAAACCCTCCGAACTCCTCCCAACATTTATACTTAACAGAACACCTCTCTTGCAATCATTTAAAGTACTTGTATCATTTACTTTCTCATTGATTTCAGGGTTCACTAATTCAAATTATGACATGTGATTAATTAGCTGGCAAATTAAACGTATCTTATCTTTCTTACAACAGAAATTTAAATCCCTGGAGAAAAGGACAGATGAAGTTACAAAAAGATCGACAGAAAAACGAATCAAACATCTTCAGAAACAAGTAATGGATACAGGTAATTTCGATCAAGTTTATTGTTCCTTCTGTAAGTTAAGTCTTTAGTCCTGTAGAACTAAATCAATTTTTCAATTCTTTTTACCATCAGTAAGCAGGGGAACCATTTCATTTCATGAAACCGGTGGAATATGGCTTAACATTTATAACTTGCTACCTTCTAAAATGGGTAAATTGTTCATCTATTCATTCTAACTCAGTTCACTCCCCCTCCCCTCCCCAATATGATGCATGCAAATGCTAATACAAATGCATACATAAGAACACTCACACACCTACACACACATGCACCTAAACACATGCACATGTGTGCATGTGCGCATGCACATACACATACACACACACACGCACCCACGCACCCAGGCACACACACACTAACATTTAAAGGCTCAAACACTTGTAATCTCTCAGACATGAGTGGATTTCCTTATAGTCACAGATGCAGAACTAGTTACAATGTACGTCGGTTGTTGTTTTTTTTGTGTATGTTTGTGTCATGTGTTGACATAACACGTTTGTATTTTCTAACTTTCATTTATGTTTCATTTGGGGGGAAATGGGATGAGGGGAGGAAAGAGCTGTTCATATGTTTTTGCCTTTCTGTTTACAATTATGAATGCAATAATGTCACATTTTCATCCTTTCAGTAACACAAGAATTTACTTCTCCTGAGGACAAAGATATTCTCAGAAAACATGATGTAAAATTTGGACCACCTGTTGAGACTGTTGCAGGAAAGAAAAGGAAAACTGAAACTAATCATGAGTGAGTCAAATATAGGCTATGTATAATATTTGTAGTGTTCTTCATCTCGTAGTTTTACTATTTAGGGGTAATGGGTTTGATTTCTGATTGTTCAGGAAATGTGCTTTCCACTCTTTTTCCTCACTTTGCCGTTTTGTGAAAAGATTATATTGAGTGTCTGCTGTAAGATTATCATGTGACAGTTTTCTGTATGTGGGTAACTTGGTATTATCTCTTCTACTTCATGCACTGGTAGACAGGTTATAAGAAAAGATAATACTTTATTATCCAAGAGGGAAATTTTTCTTGGTTCTACAGGACCATAAAAACACATGCAGGTGTACATAAAAAATTTAGATAATATATTACTCTCATTAAAATTCAATATGAAAAGAGAAGTAAAGCTGACAAAATGTACATTCACATCAGATGCATCATTCAACCACTTGCAGGAATTTAATTACAAGACCTTTGGAGTTATATAGATACATAGTCTAAAGAGCAACACATCTATGCTCATTCTGACAATAGCCTTGTGCTAGATGGTAAAAAACTTCTTTTATATCTTTCTTTTTTTGTTTTTGGAAGTACAAATCTGCCTCTGCGTGATCTTACATTTTGTGTTGGAAAGGTGGTGTGATGGATTGTTTATAATGCTTTTTATCTTTTAAAAAAATATATATGTGGTGTTACACATTTCATCAATTCTAGTAAAATCATATCCAGAGATCTTGTTGGCTTTCTTAATAGTTTTGTCAAATTTTTCTTTATTTTTCTCCTTACAATTCCCAGCCCAGCAGCAAATACAAAATAATACCACGCTTTCAATTATAGAATGGTATAAAAGGGATATAATTTTATTATCAACATGGAGACTTCTTTATGTCCTTTAAAGGAACCTTCTTTGATTTACTTTTTTATGCGCAAGAGCAGCATGGGGATGCCAGTCAAGTTTGTTATCAATTGTTACACCGAGATACAATGGGTGCCGCATTCAACGAGGTCACATTCCACGAGAAGTGGGCTCCAACGAGACAATCCTTAATCCCCGATTTTTTCCTCTATAGCTCTTTGTAAATGTATGTCAGCTCCAACGAGGTTGCAGACAGACCGAAGTCGCTTTCAACGAGGTCGCAATAATCAAATAAAAGCAATTAGCGGCCCCAAACGCTAAGAATTTTTCTCCTTTCTCTCCATCTCACACAAAGCACAAGGCCCATCCTCAATTCCTGACACACTGTATTGCTTGATCTAGTGTGCCTCCTAATATGGGCCTCAAAGCCAAGAGGATGGGCAAGGGTTAGCCTATGGTAGGGATGGGAGGGGATGGGTGGGAACACGATGTGGGCTGTGTGAAACTGGATAGGTAGGTCTAGATCAAGACCATCTTTTTCAAATTCCTTTCTTCCCCTGATAAAAAATCCAAGCTCCCGCCTTTACTTTATGAAGATATCTAGGCCTAGATGAGAGAGGGTATGTTTCTACACGATGAAGTGTTCCGGGAAAAAAATATTTTAAAATACATAAATGACGGTCAGAACACCGCTCAAAAACGCGCACCCTGATGCTGTTTGAGATTTTCATCATCAGGGGGAACAACTGTTTTAATTACTGGTATTGGTACATCATGTAGTATAATAATGTGTCTCCTTTCTTTACTTTAGCCTAAGTCACGTTCGACGAGAGGTCGGATCCAACGAAGACAACAAGCCGGTCCCGGCAACCTCGTTGAATGTGACACCCACTGTACTTGTAAGAGTTTACTACCTGCACCTCCTCATCTTTAATAAATAGTGGTTGCAGTTTGTCTTTTTTGACGCTAAAATCTATGATTAATTCCTTTGTCTTTTATACATTTAGTAAAAGGAAGTGGTTATCACACCAATTTACTACAGCGTCCCTGTATTCATTTTCATTTGTTGTTTTGTTGTTATATGGCTTTGTAGAGTGGAATCATCCGCAGATTTTATTAGTTTGATGTTTTTGTTATCAACAGTACTGTCATTGGTGTAGAGCGTAAACAAGGCAGGGGAGATTACACAACCTCTGTGAGCTGTGAAGGCCTTAAAGAATGTATTCATTTGTTTAACGTTTCCGGTAGTATTCTATTTATCTACTTGTATATGCTTCATTGCCATATAAAGAGAAAACCCACGAATTTTAAAAGCTTCCTGTTTGTTCTTGAAATCCTTCCGTCAGTGCAACAAGTTCTTTGTGTGGAAATGTAATTGACTACTGTGTATTGGATTTTTGAAAATGGTCTTCTTAAAATGTTATTTTGTATTTACTTTTCACAAGGGAAATCATCTGCATATTTCAGCCCTAAAAACACTAATGAAATGGTCTCATCCAATGTTAGATTAAAAACATTTTAACCTTGAGGTTTTGAGTGGATGGTTATTTTTTAAATTTTGGATTATAAGTGTCTTTTCTTAACTCTTGTTGGCCTTGTGGTTTTTGTGTCATAAAGCACGGTGAAACTGAACTCAATGGCATCATCATCATCATTATTGCCCGTCTCACCGTGGATCAGAATATAGGCCACGAACAAACACTTTCCACCTTTCCCTATCCTTGGCTAGCCGCTTGATATTATGTTCTGTCTTCCCACTTTTCTGTACTTCATTTTCTGTGACCCTTCTCCAGGGTCCATGGGGTGTTCCTCTTAATCTTTTATCCTGTGGGTTCCAAATGCTTGACCTCTTGAGAGTATGTCCAATCCATGGCCACCACCTTCTTTCTCACCTCGCCTCTGACTGAGCTCTGTCTTATTCTCCTTAATACTTCCTTGTTGGTGACCCTGTCTGTCCATCTGATCCTTGGTAACGTCCTTAGACTCTTGTTCAGGAAAACCTGGATCGTCTTTTTACAAGTTTGCGATCCGTTCTATGTACCACAGCCATACAACAAGACTGATACTGATTCCACATTTGAATTGAAGATCCTCAGCTTTGTGCGAAGTAAGATAACCCTGGTCCTCCAAATCCTATTCAGAGATATGAAAGCAGCCTGTGCCTTTCCAATGCGGGACTTTATTTCAGCGCCTATTCCTCTCTCTGTGTCGATTGTACTCCCAAGATAGTGGAAAAATTTGATGCCTTCTAGTGCATTTCCCTCTACTGTGACCTGCTCCTTTCATAGTGCATCTATCCTGTAGACTTTTGACTTTCCGGGGTGGATCCTCAATCCAACAGACTTTGATATGCTGTTTAAAATGTGGTCTCTGTTTGCATCTGTTCCTGGAACTCAATGTAAAAATTTTATTAAAAGATGTGAATATATTAACATCTGGATACGCCCAGACAAACACGAATCAATATACTTCACTTGGGTGAAATAAAATTTAATTATTAGTTTGTTTCAGAGTGTTAGAGATACGACGCCATGAAAATGCTATTGCATGATACATCTCATGAGAGATCTATTTCAGCGAGTCTCATATTACGCTTTGCAGTCACTTGGCGCAATAATGCGACGCTGAAAATTATCTGTTACGGTCACGTGGCGCAGTTCTGCGCCAGGCCTTAGAAGTCCACTGCAGTCACTCTCCTGGCTGGGGACCAGATGGGGTATTTTGTACTGTTGGCTGTATGATTGTATAGTGTTAATACAGTCGAACCTTTGTAAGACGGCCACCCGTTGTCACGGAAAAAAGTGGCCGTATAAGACAGGTGGCCGTCTTAGGCGGGATTAATCAGGATAAAGAAAACAAACCATTCCTTTCTGAGGTCAAAACCAAAGGTAGCCGCATTGTTGTTGTTGTTGTTTTGGCTGTTTGTTTTTTTTTCTTTTGTTGCTGCTTTTGTGCAAAGGTGACAATAAAATAAAATGTATCAGACAAGGAGGATCGAGTGCTATGGTAAAACAAACACATGAGTTGCCACTACTCGGAGAACGAACGACGCTTCTGTCACAAGTTCATGTTGGCGTCCGTTGTTACTGTGTTAAAGACTGGGTAAACAGTGACCACTCATCTCACTTATGATTTGTGTATGAGTTCTGGGTGGGGCTTATGGGTTATGAGGGATCACACGCTTACCTCACCAGCAGCTGAAAATTTGTTACTTATTGGTCAACAATGATAGGGGCCTACGCAACATGATCGGTTGGAGGGACTACTTAACAACAAACAGATGATTGGATTATGACAGCTCGCCCACAACGCCAGGTGCCAATGCACAATTTATGTCAAAACGTGACAGAGTCACTAAGGTGGTCGTCTAAGACAGGTGTTATTACTTGGTGTGATAGGGGTTGTGTGTTAAAATATGGTGGCCGTGGCCGCGTTGGACAGGTGCCCGTTTTACACAGTTAAATTATATCGAAAAAACACAATTTGTACAGGTGGCCGTCTTATAGAGGTGGCCGTCAGGGCAGGTTCGACTGTATATGCCAAAAAATCAGCTGTGGCTGATACTCAGTTCAAAATATTTGGCCTTTGTGTCTAGATTCACAGGTACAAAAGAAGCTACAGCCACATCCTCGTGTGACCTTTTGGATTATATGAACGTGAATCAACATTTACATCAAACTGATCATTCAAGGCCTCCTCCACCAACAGCCCTTGAAACCAAGATTGACGCCGCTATAAAATCTGGAAATTTGAAAGAAGCTGAAGAGCTGAGTGATCGTCTTGCAGGCAGAGAAGTGTGTATCTCTTCCCTCTTATTATACTTATACTATAAGTTATAGTTTTCTATGAATAATTTTTCATCACTGAATGATCTCCATCACTTTTGTTTTAGTTACATGCTTTACTCTTTCTTCCAGAGAAAACGAGGTAGAAGACACACTGCCTTTGTCTGAGATGCAGTCAAAATACTAAATTCTAAATTAAAAAACAAAACTGAGTTATCGTTCGGAATTGTTTTCTTTTCCTTCATCCACTTCTCATCTGGTAATTGCATAGATTATATAAATATATATATAAATATTTATATATAAACTTAACTATTTTATTTTTTAAAGCTGCTTTTAAAGTACATTTCCATATTTAATTTTGTAACTGATGTAAATATGTCTTGGCACCGGAATAAGTTGTCAGTGTCAGGTCCCACCTCTAGAGTGTCCACTTTAGTTTGTTGGAAGGAGCATTGATCCCATAGCATAGTGTACTGGTACATTGTAGTTGTACTGTTACATGATGTTTATTTGTTTTTGCTTTCAAGATAAAATGGTTCAGGTTTCAACTGAAAACCTCCACTTAAAAATTGGTAGAAAAGTTAGGTCTAGGGCATTTTTCCTTCCTTCTGTCAAGTTTTTTTGCTCGTGGTATAAAACTTTGATGAGCTGTTAACTCATTTTGTATCATGCTGGAATGTGGTGTGGATGATCCTAACCCCGATCCCCAGTGAAGTATTCAAAAACTTGGTTTGTTTTGGGAGTTTTCAAGGCTTTCTACTGACATGGCTTCATCTTATTGGAGAAAAATGTTAGAAATTCTGCCTCTTTAACTTAACAGTGTTCAAATGATAGTTTGGTCGTTGCCTTACATTAATACCATTCCCCAAAATCTTGGTGGTAATCTTTGTCTTCCCCAGGCTGGAGAGAAAATTGTTGCTGCTATAGATGCCAAAAATTTCTTGGAAGATAAAAAGGTTTGTAATTGATAACAGTTTTATTGTTTTTGTACTTTTTGTTTCATATCCAATGTCAATTCTTCCTGTTTATTTAGGGTTCTCACTCAACTGATTCAACAGTGTGTCTGACTTTTGCATGGAAACATTGGTATCCACAGTGGTTGGAAGTGTGGCTGCTTTTACAATGGAAAACAGAGGATTGTATCAAATCCTGCAGAGTAAATTGCATGGGTAACTAACATTTATCATCCTATCCACCTTGCTCTTCCACATTTTCTTTGCTTTGAAAATCTAATTGTTTCCCTGATCTCTAGGTTCAGGACCAGATGCAAAAAGCAAAACGGAAAAGAAAACTGAATTGGGGGTAAGTAAAATGTTGATCGTCAAAGTTTGCAGTGTTATGTGGAAGTGAAATATGTTTCTTTTTGCTAATATATATATGTACTTTCATATCATAATTTCTGATGTGATAAACATTCCGTGTGTGTGTATGTGTTTCTGTGCGTGTGTGTGTTTGTGTTGAGGAATGGTTATGCCCAAAATATCCAATGTATATTTTTTCAAATACAACCTTTCTGTGATTTTCTGTAAAGTTCCAACTTCTTGCTGCTTCAGTAGAGCATAATATATTTAACTGGCGAAGTAACATTTTTGTGTTTATGTTTATGTGATGGAGTACAACTTTATATGTTCTTTACAAAACATTGGTTGATGTGCAAGTGTTTGTTTTTTTTAAAACACTGTGTGCTTCACCCAAAATTTGAACAACCTTATTCAAGCTTATTATGAAATAGCCATTGTATTTCAAAGTGTGTTTTTTTCTTCCAAATTTTATGATGCAGTGTTAAAAAAAAGATATACAGGGTGATTAAAACAGAATGAACCGATTTTATGACGTATTACTTCAGTTCTCAAGCATCATTATGGATGAGTCAGTGACCATTTTAAAAAGGAGTTACCTAACTTTTGAATAGCTGTTACTGGGATGATGTTGTCGCACCATTCTTCCTTTGAAGAAAATACCATTACAAGACAAATCTATATTGATATGCTCCAAAACTGGCTCTCCACATCACTGAAAGCAGATTCTCATGACTTTCATTTTTTTAACAAGACGGAGCATCGCCCATTTGGTATCTGATAGTTCAAGCGTTTTTACATTAAAAAATGCCCCAGTGATGGAATGGTTGGAAAGGGGCCCAAGACCTTGCTCTCTGTGCTTGTCTTGCCTGATCCCCAGACCTCACCATGTGTGATTTTTTGTTTTGTTTTTGGTGGGGATATGTAAAAGATAGCATTTATGACCTTGATGACCTTAAACTTAAACTTAAACATCAAACAACAACAGCGATCAACTCAGTGGACCGTGATGTTGATACGCATCTGGGATGAATTGACATTCATTCACTAGAGATAAGTGTGTTTGATGTAGATTGTGGGAGGAAGTTCTATGGAGTAACGAGCTAGGCAAATGGACGACCTCAATATATCAGTTCTTGACGGAACAAATAATTTTACAAAAAAATAAGTAATGTTTTCCAAGCTTTCTTTCTGTGTCAGATGATTTGTCTTCCTCATTGTCTTTTTTCTTTCAGTAACCTATAAATATCATTTGGTCGTGGGGTTTTTTTTTCTTCCCAATGACAATCAAAATGATGACTTTGAAAGCCATTGAAATAGATTAACTCAGTTGGTATAAAAATGATTGTAAGTAACATTTTTTAATGTCATTCAAGGGGAAAGCTGCTTTAACATTTGCTTGTTTATATCTCAGTAGAAACACACAGTTACTCATACGATGTAACTTCCCCACTTGAGAAGTCATTTTTCTCTTTCCTACCAGCCTGTTTTAAATGTCCAACTTTAAACGCACTTTAATATGTCAAATGGGAGTTCTGTATGTTGCATATCGCAACCTCAGTGCTTTCTTGTCGTATCTCCTTTTTTTTAACAGTGAAAATGTGACTTCTTCTTTAGCTCACTCTTTGTTATGAACTGTTTTCACTGTTATTAAAAATGGAGGCACAACAAGAAAGCACTGAGGTCGCGATGCACATGTAGATGAAGATACATTTTTTTCTCTTTCTTGATTTCTCTCCCTCTTCCTCTGACAGATTTGAACCCAAGCACAGATGGGAGACCAAAGGAAACATGTAGTCTGTCATACATTCTCTAAGATACATAGTGTGACATCTGTGGCATGAGGGATCAAGGGTTCAAGTACACATGGACATCTGGCTTCAGGCGGTCATAGATGGAGTTTGGTATTATTAGCACCATCTCTTCAATAATAGAATTGTGCTGAATGTTCCATTATGTATGAACCCCTTTCAAAGACTACTTTGCCTACTGTCAGACATTTGATGACTTTAATTAATTTTGTGTTACTTGAGAATGAGTTGTAACCTTAAAGACAGGATTACATGCCTTTCTGTCCATCTTTACACACAGCAGCATGCAGTGATCAGATTCAAACAGTCGACTCAAGGGAACTCAGGCGTACTGGTCCTGTTGGCTTGGGGGATCAGAGCTCAAATGGTTCAGCCAATCTCTACAAAATTATGTAGTTTTAGGAAGATGACTCTCCACTTATGTGACTCTCTGATAGGGTGGGGTTATTGAGCTGATGGACTCTGCAAATAAACCAAGGGTACAAATATCCCTGCTGGGGTAGTCTTGGATCTATTGTTTGCAATGACAGTGTAATGGGATCAAGACTAGGTTGTCAACTAAAATGTGTGAACAATTTCTCTCTGACTCTGACCAGTGTTCAGTGTCCAATAGACAAAGCCATTTTCTTTTTTGCATAATTTCCACCTATACGAGTGAGAATTCTTCTCAAAACCCAAGAAAAACTCTTATCAGGCTTTGTGTATCATCACTGCATGGAGCACAATTGTATTACTGTTTTTGCTCACATTTCTAAAAGTTTTCTCAAAGCAATAAGAACACAAAAGACAGAAAACAGTAATTGAAAAATCATGAATTCTTTTTTATTGGACATTAGTTATTTTAAAAATATCACTTGGAGACTACCATTCTCACGTTATCGTGCTAAACGAATATATCGTAAAAATTTCGATAAATTGAATTGATAAATCACTCACTAGTTCACACTAAAAGTTTGTTTCCTGCTGAGAATCATTTGTTTTTATAAGTACTTCTTAAAGGTACTGTCTGTTTGAAGATTGATGCTCTGTTTTGAGCCATCTTCCCTTCAGTGTAGATGCAAAATATTGTTCAATGCTGTAAAAGTTTTGTCTGTACTACAGACCCATGACAGTGGTCGCAGTCAACCTACTGTCAGTACAAAGGAAATGTCAACCTACCTGAAAAGCTTCACCAATGGTTATGGTGATGTCATGCACTTTGGGTCTGTAATAAGAAATGTTAACATATATCCAGTGTAGCACACACATAGCGAACGTTTTCATAGCAAAAAACACGCATGGCAAACAGATTTTCAGGTCCCAAACTTTTCTTTTACAGATTCTTTGTATTTAGAACGCATACATAACAAAATTCGTACATAATGAAAAGATTTTTGTGTCAGGTCAATTTTGCTAGGTGCATGCTAGGCTGTAGTTATTTTTATGTAATGCATCTAGGTCTTGCTTGGAATGTTTTTAGTGTGAAATTGTTTGGACGAGCATGCTTTTTTGCTGTTTGGTTTACTCCCTCAACTTCAGCGTTATCACAGAGACAAAAAGAAAAGCTAAAAGTGATATCAGCTTCAATAAATACCTTCCTCTCTGTTTTTCATTTTGCTTACAAATGTAAATGAAGTGACCAAAAAAAAGAAAATAAGTATAAAGCTACAAATTCCTTTGATTTGAATCGTGTTGTGATTCCACCCACTCTTTTCATCGAGTTCTTGCAGCTCAGAGTTATCAGAATTTTGAGTATTCACTGAACTGCACAGGGGCACTGTTTGTTTAGTTGCTATTTTACTGGGCCACAGTGCTGATGACCCTGATTCGAATCCCCCAACGGGGACGATCTATGACTTGGGTTGTTGAGGGGTTATGAAGGTGCTCTGCCTTCTTGACTAGTTGGATGTTAATTTTGGAGGTCCTGCTTCTGAAATAAGCTTAAAAGAAATGTTTCTTCTGACTTTGCTGTTCTTTAACTAATTGTTGACTAATTAATGTTGCTGGTTCCTGCACCCAGGGTCATGACTCTCTAACTCTCTAGATCTAGAGGGGCATACATACTGCTTAGGGTCACTGAATGATGAATGTGTTATTAAATTTATTTTGACAGGAAGAAGATGAATGTCAAATAAGAAACAAGCAAACTTAAATTGTTTTCCTGTTGAATTTAGTGGTTGTCAAGAAATTTTATGTATAAGGTTGTAATCGAAGCAGCTTGGTTGGTCCTGCTAAAGAGAAAGGATTTCTAGCTGAAGGAAAAGTTGTAATAAAAAAGTTGAAAAGTCCCACCATACTTTCCTATCCCTGTCTCCTAGAATTGCGTACTGTAATTTCAGAATCCATATGAGGTAAATTTTGCTTCCTCCTCCATACAATGAAATGTTTTTATATATACTTTGAGAACATTTCATTTGCTTGTATGTAAAGAAGAACCATTGCTGCTGTTGTCTATTGCACATGTACGTTTATTTGATTTTACACATTTTCCAAGAAGTTCTATGTAGAAGAGCAAGCATAAAACACTTAAACATTGTTTATTTTTTTGTTCTGCGAGTGGTTACGCGAGAATATAAAAAAACCCAACTCTACATGCTCATGTATGTTGCAATTTGAACAATGATGTTTTTCATCATCAATATTTTGATGTTTTATCTGTGCTCGTTTAATCCAAAATAATACATCCTATCTTCTGTTTTAATGCTCTATCTCTGCTGTTCTGTTTGCATTTCATGAACATAGCAAAGAAATCAGATATGTATTAAAAGCAAGGCAAAAACTAAAAAATTTGCTAAACGCATGACAAAAATCCTCGCTTGTGTGGTGGGGTCTGTCAGGTGCAAGAGAAGGCTTGTCTCAGCTCTGTCTTGTGTGGACAATCGAACCGTTCTGCAGTAGAGAAAAGAAATTGGGTGAACGTTAAATCTAACTGACTTTGTAAAGTATACAAACAAGCATGTGTATTTGTGCATAAATCAATGTGGCGTTTACTCCAGCCATACTCACCTTCTGAGAATGTCTTGTATCATGTACACTTCGCTCACACACACACACTCACTCACACACACATTCACACACACTCACACACATTCATACACTTACACACAGATATGTTCATGCATAAGTATATGTGTCGCAGTGTGGTGGAATCAGTCATTGTCAAAATCAAAGAAACAAACATTTTTCCATCTGTTCGGAAATATTTATCAATTATTTTTTTTGGCTCAACACCCTTTTTATTCTTTAAAAAAAATCATATTCCCGCTTGAACTTTACTGAAAACATTTATGAAGAGCACAAAAAAAGCAATTATTTTCTGTTTCCCCCCATGACACTCAAGCTTTGGAGATCATCAAGTGTGTGTGTGTGTGTGTGTGTGTATTCATTCAGTCAAAATACACATGTGATATACCCATGCAATATTTGTATTTGTATGGATTTATACTTGTATGTATGCATTGTACAAAGTGCATTTGTGTGTTTGTGTGTGTGTGTGTGTCTGCATGTGCGTGTGTGTGTGTGTGTGTGTGTGTGTGTGTTTGTGTGTGTGTTTGTGTGTCTGCCTGTGTAGGTATGCATTGTAACTGACTTTGTCAAAGAAACTCAGATTGGCAAATAAATGTCGCATTCTATTTTACTTTGTATTTCCAGTGTTTGTTTTCTGCACTGTTGAACTGTAGTAGAGTTTCCAAATTTAGTGTTACTGTAAGTTCAAAATTTAATTGTTGTTCTTGATGGAAAACAGTCAGAAATAGAAACATGGTTTTGTTTATTTTACACAGGTCAGTTAATGTGATTGACAGGAGGGAAGTCATACTTGTCACAGAACGCTGTTAGCTCAGTTGGTATTATGCTGGCTATATAGTGTGTTCTTGAGCTTAAGGTGTTTGGGAAAGTTTTCAAGGCTTGCTCATGCTGTCCTCTTGGCCCTATCCTACTGCAGATGAACGCTAAATTCGGAGGTCCCGCAGCTTAAATGGCCTTACAGTACAGTGTTGAAAGGAGCATTAAAAATAATATATTATATAAATCATACAAATACCAACCACAACCAGTGGAGAATGATCAAAGCAATTATTATGTAGAGACAATATGTTACATGTATATATATAAATATAATATATTATAGTATTTTTATTTGTACCGTTATATATATAAGCCGGTTTATCGAGAGATTTTTAAAATAATACAAACGGTACACATCGTATGGAGGTAGAGGTTTGGGGTGTGAGGGAGAATTCCGTTCAACATCTCTGTCCCGTAACGTAACAACAGAGAAAGAAATATAAACATACACCCCCTCACCCGCCCACCCACACAAAGTCGCAAAGAATTTAACTAAAGAAATATAGACAAGCAGAAACAAAGAAACACTGAGGCTGGATAAACAAAAGCGCCAAAGGAGTACATCGCTTCCTTTTCCCGCAAAAAGAAGCAAAATATGGATATGATAAATCTATTTTATACAACAATATTGCTTACCTCCTGAAATGTTGGGAAGACTGATTTCTTGTCATGCCATTCGTGCACACAGATAAGTTGTCGGCATTGAAAAGGGTGACTTGGGTGGGGAATACTACAGGTTTGTGTCTACGTGACATGCTTGCAAAAAGTCACACAGGCGTCTAGTCTATCTGTTGAGCAAGGCTTCATGCAGGGGAAAGCAATGAACATGTAGTGTATGTCTATATCACATGTGTTTGTAGCCTACATGATATTGACAAATGACCCAGTCTGTACTATCTTGTAAACGATATTGTGTGACCCTCCATTTTCCACGTCTACGTCTTAACATCACTGAATCACATTCAATTCCAGCTGCGCGCTGCACTTGCTTTATCACATAGTGTAAAAAAAATAGTTGTTCTACTAGTTCTAGCTGACTGTTCAGAAGTGCGAAAAAGCGGGTTCCACGACATTTGAGAATTTAAAACTTTTTACAGAGTGTACAAGACGAATCTCTCGCGGTACTTTCCATCCTGGAAAGCGTATTTCCAATGACTGGCGTTTCTGTCACTTTAATGCCAGCTAGTTATTCCTGGTTAGCTTTGACCCTTACAAGTTACATTGTGGAAACAGGAAAACGTGTGTGTGTGTGTGTGTGTGTGTGTGTGTGTGTGTGTGTGTGTGTGTGTGTGTGTGTGTGAAAAGAGATGGGTTGGGTGACCAGTGGAAAAAGACATGTCATAGTGGCATTTAGCAATAGCATTTGATTCTCGAGCATGATAAGTCGCGTCGGTTGTCTAGTGGTTAGGCTGTCGGGTCCGTTACCGAAAGTTCATGGGCTCGAACCCCGTCAGGGGCCTGATGCTGTGTCCTGGGGAAAGGCGCTTTAATGAATTTTCATCACTTCACCAAGGTGGAAATGGGAACCCGGCTATAGGTGGTGAAAGATCTTATCAATTTGTTTAAGTGCTTTTGCAATCAACTGTTTGCACTGTATGCTTTCCGGGAAGCCGAATCTGATTCTGGGTGTTTTAGAGACTACTTGGATAATAATACTAATACATATTATAGTTGTGAAGCGCTTATGGACGTGCAATTACACACGTATTATTACTATATTATTATTTGTATTATTTGTATTCTTATTTTTAGCACCATAGCTCCTGTGGAAGTAATCGGATAAATTAAACGAATTCAAGAAAATTGAATTGAAAACTCTAAAAGAATATTATTATACCTTATTTATCAATAATATATTTTTGTACTCCAAAGCTGTGCTCGCTTTGATTTATTTTCTTCGTATCAGAATTCCTTCTGATCACAAACGGGTTTATAGTATATTAATGTTACTTTCAATGTCACTTGTAATGATATAAAAGACTTGCATATTATCTTGCTCTCATAGGACAAATAGAAGTTACAATGTATATATAACAAGAGTGAGAGGCGGACAAAAACAAAAACAACCTTACTTAGAGAACGTATACCGATGAGTGACAAGGTCAGATCAGGGTTTGTGTTTGTTCATTAAAAAAAATATTCAAGCAAAGAAAAGTGTGCAGTGAACTTCAGCATCTATTGCGTGTATTGGCAATAACTACAGCTTGCTCACTTGTCTGCTGAATTCAAACTTAAATATGGTATTATGTACTGTCTTATCGAAAAGATCACAAGGCAAACACACGACCGTATTGTCAAATAATTTATTCTTCTTCTATAACTTCACAGCACATGTTTTGCTTTTCTTAAAATCTAAGTCTAAATCCGCTCGCAAATTTTAATGAAGTGGGTGGAAAGGAGGTTTGGGGGTGGGAGGGGGTGGGGTGGGGGGTGGGGGGCCTGGACGATGTTTCTTGCCCTACTGGAAAGTTTCCGAGACCCCCCCCCAAAAAAAAAAATAAAAAAAATAAAATTAAAATAAAACACCCCCACCTAACAAACAAAAACGTAACAAACGTGGAATTACCCGTATTTTATAGCTCTATCACTATCACGGAGATAGAATGCAGTTTGCTGCATACCCTGTCTCATTTGAATGGAATTTATGGGCTAAACCTCTTGAGATTCCAATATCAACATTTTCTATTCCTTTTTTTCTTTTCTAAAAATGGCGTGTAGTCCCTTCCACCTCTTTAGAACTATTCGCTATGTGTATACTCATCACAGTCTATTTCGCTTCATGCAAATGCGCAGAAGGAAAAAATCAGTCTGCAGTTGACATTAATTGTCAAGATTAAGCGTATAGTTTATAGCCGAGGCCGTGCACTCTTGTTCAAGTTAGGAAGCTGCACTTTTAATGAGCATGCAGTATGCAGGAACTTTGTTGGTTTGAACCTCCCCTGGGTTATTCGGTACTCCTTCAAGAACACAATTTCATACACTTACCATAGGCAACGCAAAACCTCTCGAACCGGCTATCTTGGCAACCATAATTTATGTTTTCTCGACCATAACGTTTTCTAGTAGAATCTAGATTGATTTAAGTGAATGCACGAGACTGTCGCCTGATCATGCAAGTACACAAATACACACCTTCACATACAAATACGCCACACACATTCCCGTTCTCGCGCACAAATAAACGTACATATATAGTAAATAAAAACGTTTATAAACATACATACATAAATATATACACATACAAACTCACTTACAAATACACATGCACACACACACAAACTCACACACATGCACACCCACACACACGCACACATACACACACGCGCACATACGTTTTATCTTCTGTACTTTTCCTTTCTTCTCCCTCTCGTTCCTCTCTGCCTGATTTTGCTTCTTAAGATTTGCAACGGCCGCTTTCTCTCTCTCTCTCTCTCTCTCTCTCTCTCTCTCTCTGTCTGTCTGTCTGTCTGTCTGTCTGTCTGTCTGTCTGTCTGTCTGTCTGCCTCTCGCTCATTCTTTCTTTCTTCTCCCTCTGGTCCGCTCTCTTGCTCTCTCTCTCTCTCTCTCTCTCTCTCTCTCTCTCTC